TGGCATGCCATAGTCAACAACAAAATCTCTCCATCTGTGGCTGAACCACTCCTTCTGTAGATAGGCGTCTAACTGTGACCAACATGCTGTCGATCCCGTGATACCGTTCACTTGGTCCTCAAGTGCCTCGTAATACTGGTCCCATTTCTTTTCGTCTGGACAACGTTGACATCTTCGAATGGCATTGAGGATCTGAGCGCACTTGCGCTTTCCCTCGTCCGATCGACCCACAATCGACCTGATTCTTGAGCGACAAGCCCGCATCATGTGAAATTGACATCCACGAAGAGGAACTCCTGGGTAGACTTTGCGCAGACTTGTACGCTCTGCTTCACATCCGTCAATCATGACAAAGCGTGGGCAAAGTCCGTCTTCCGCAACCGCCACACAGGCTCTCCGTAGATCTTCAGCAGGAATATCACTATGCTCAACGACATATGTCCCATCCAAAACGTCTTGAGCCGTTTGGCGTACTGCTTTGTTGAATTCAGTCAACATGAAGGAGTAAGCCTCCTCATCAGCATGATTGGATATCATGGCAGCCACTGTGGAAGTCAACTACAATTCACTTTTCGGAGTAGTGACATACAAGGGATCATCCGGTGATACTGATTGATGGTCACTAGGAAGCTCAGTGGACACCGGAAGGCATTCTTGTTCCTCCAAGAAGAGTCAAGATACATTCCCATGCGATGCACTTGTAAGATGGCGCAGATTTGAGCAAAACGAGGGGCAATGACACATTCAAACCGCGCACTACCTGCCACCCGCTTGGTAAGCTTGGTAGACTTGTCTCCAAGTATATTAGGGAATTTGGATCTTTAAGTCAGTCAGGAACTGACATTGTGAAAAAAACTGAACCAACGCTAAGATAGCTTGAGGATGTCTTTCTGCAAGAATTTCAAGAGCAACTAATGGGCTGCGATCGATCCTTGCAGTAGCCGTGGCAGTCTCTATAGCCGTCTTATAGTCCCGTGGAGTTGGTAGTCGGTGAGAGCAGCGATCGGCAAGCCATTGTGCATGTTCATCCATGGCAAGGACATTCTGAGCGTACCCTACACACATCAAAAACCGACTTCAAGAAAACAGGAGGAACATACAAGCAGTGAGACGAGTGGTGGTCATTCCAAATCCCATCGCAGCTTCATGGAGCAAGCGTCGAAGATATGGCGATACCCGTAGCTCGGTCAAAGACTTTGCGGGAGGATGCCATTCTGGACTTTTCATGATGACGGTACATCTTTGGGTGACAGACTGGGCTGCGGTCATTTGAACCTATGTCAGATCAGCGATTATATTCCTGTATTCCGTGGACTCACCACGAGAATAGCCTTGCAATCGTGAGGTTTAGGACGTTTGGGAGTAGTAGACTTTTTGGACACTTTGGGGATGGTATTGCCATTCTTAACTGCTAGATCATGTTCACTGTCCTCGTCCTCGTGTTCCCCTTCCTTCCCATCATTGGCTGTCTGTTGGTCTTGCTCCGCAACGTCACCTTGATAGGCCGATCGACCTTTTGTGCGGGCTTTGTGGCCCGATTGAGCTCTCGAGGGTTTTCTGTGTCCGACTGACCTTTTGGGCGGGCTTTGTGGTCCGATCGACC